ACATATCAGAAAAGGAGACATCTATGATGTTAATGTCGACGAGCAATTGTATAGGCCTATTGTTTGCCTGTCTATGTTATGCATAATGCAGTTTAAAAAGCACTTTTAGAACATCACTCAAACATAAGAGAAAAAAAAGATATTTTCCGTCATATATCTGGTGCAATCATGTCCAACTAACTATGTAGATTGAAGAACGCCATGTACATGACGTTTATGCTAATACCCTAACATTTCCGGTTTAGGAGTTAATTTGAACAACACTGTTGAGGTGTGATTATATATACAGTGTTTATAAATTGAAAATAACATTAATTACCTCGAAGTTCTCACGATCACGCCAAGATATGCACATCCATTTTTTGTTTATTTTCAAGACACTTAAACTTTCAAAACACAATTAATTTCTAAACATGAATGCACTAGCCTTCCATCTGCAACAGATATAGCAACAAAGTAGCAAACCTGAAATTAGTAACGAATAAATCGAATCAGAATAAAGTTTGATCCTTTCTTTCAAAATGAAATAAAGAAAAATAAACTTTATTTATTTTACAACAATTGCGAACTGCAAGTTTTTCCAACTTATATTGATCAATATTGTTAGCTCGGATGGAAGCGAGCAAGGAGTCTCACTGTGCGAGGAAACCAGGATCCTTTCTTTCATACCAAACAAAACTGAAAAAAGAGAAAAGTAATATTTCAAAGTCTTTGTTGGCTGCCAAAACAAAAACTGTATAGGAAATATCGTTCTTTCTTCACTAAATTAATAAACAAAATGTTAGTTTTCCTTCTGTGCGCATGTGTGACCTATATTTTGTCATTGTTTTAAATTTCTTGCATTGTTGTAAAATCGATAAACACATTGCTGTATTCTTTTCATTACGTCTATCATTGACCCTTATTTTGCTGTTTATTCTTCATTTTAAATTTTGCCCCTACTATTTATTTTTCGGTAGATCCACATTTTTGTATTTGCATCATTTTGTTTTTAATTTCAAGTTATCTGAATGACCCCGATTTTATTCACAGCTGCTTACATTTACATAATTTGAGAACCTACATAATTAAGTAAACGAAACATTTTAAGATGCTCTTTTTTCATCCTGTTCAGAAATAATTAACACCATCTCTGCTACTCTCAGGCCGATTTCCTCTGTGAACAGTTTTAAGTATGTGTTTTACAACACCAGTAAATCTTCTTCGAGTACACACTTGGGCAGGTACGGTTTAAATACTTATCTATGCCTTCACAGTGGAGAGGTATGTTGTACAGCCTATTAACGTCAAGGATTTAAGGTTGTGGGGGTCACACTTGTAAATTTTGAAGAAGGATTGATAGGATACTTCGTACATTATAAACTCAACTGTATTCATTATTTATGTTTATAAGGCTATCTGGTACAAAAAGACCATGCCATGTTTGAGGGTACCAAGTACAATGTCTGATAGTGTTACAGATTGTGTAGTCACGGAAGCAGATGCAGGACCCATGTTTTACGAATGAGAACGTGTTTGTTGTTCATATTCTCGTTGTCTGTCTTTGGACACACACCGGTATAACGATGTAAAGGCCTCTGTTCAGAGAAATCACGGAATAAGGTTTTAGCCGATAGACAGGAAGAATATGTCTCCCTTAATTGCTGTGACGTCATGATCACGTGTAATATTGAAGAGGAAGGCCTTGATAGCTAATTTGATTTTAAAAGTATGTTAATTATTCTAGAGGATACGTTATTAATTACACAAACAGGTAAATAGATTGTCAACTTACGTCAAGTTGAATATAAGTACAACGTCAATCACTTTCTCGAAATATGTTCCTTAACATAACCAACATTGAATGAGAGCAGACGAAACAAGTAACAAAAAAATATCCTGCAAGGAAGTAGCATAAAGCAAGAAAACACCAACATGTCAACATAATCATAATCCAACTAAAACGCAATAAAACTAGGACAAAATATAATCAAAAGATAGATTGAAGCGGAGACTTATGAAAAAGTAGAAGGGGAATAAGACCAGGTGTTCCGCAATAGTAAGTGTCTTCTGCTTCATCAACGACATCTGCCATGTAAGCCTTGGTCAATCCAAATAATAAATGTCACGTTCTCAAAATCGAGAACAATGTATACAACAACGGATGCAACACGCAAACTAACCACAACAAAGGAAAACGGAAATGAAGATTGTTACTTACAATTTGACGTTTTAGCGGTGTAATTGTACATTCTTCGGATTTATTGCTTATCTTCATTGTGTTAAGACACGTCTGTATCAATACTAATTAAGTATAATATGTAAGCACATAATCTTCAACATCTAACGATTTACTATTGTATCGTATGTATATCTAAAGAGTCACGAACTGTGGCCTCGTGATGACGTAACAGAACAAAGACTCAAGATCTGTGGCTTCATGATGACGTAACAGAATAAAGAGCCACGAAGTGTGACCTCGTGATGACGTAACAGAACAAAGAACTGTGGCCTCGTGATGACGTCAAGATCTGTGGCTTCATGATGACGTAACAGAATAAAGAGCCACGAAGTGTGACCTCGTGATGACGTAACCGAATAAAGAGTCACGAACTGTGGCCTCGTGATGACGTAACAGAACAAAGACTCAAGATCTGTGGCTTCATGATGACGTAACAGAATAAAGAGCCACGAAGTGTGACCTCGTGATGACGTAACCGAATAAAGAGTCACGAACTGTGGCCTCGTGATGACGTGTGACACCTTAACAGAATGAAAAGGTCACGATCTGTGATATCCGGGTGGCGTAACACATCACAACCAGACCATCATTTATCAGGAAATTGGATAGGATGATTTTGAAACACAAGCACAACGCACAGAAAGTTGAAAATCGACATTAAATATCAAAATTAATAACATATTAAAAATTTAAACAGTCGTTTAGGTAACATCGACTCTAATGACTGGTGTCCTTCAATACAGATTATCACCGATGTTACCTCGAAAACTCTCTGTCCATTTTCTTTAAGATAAGTATATATGTGCTGAAAGTCAATACGTACGTGTCTCGGTGTATCTACAGCGTAATGCTGTAATTGCTTAATTAACTTGAAGTACACATGTACATTGTTAATCACGAATATAAATGAAGTCGGGTAAACAATCAAGGAAGGGGGTGCTACGTCCAGGAAAAAATCTGTACCTAGCCACCTTGCGTACAACCTTTTTACCTTTCATCGTAAAATCTGGCCGGATCGTACAGTCGTTTATGTACCGAAAGTTTACATTTGATAGCTGCAGGCACTTGACCCAAAATAATACTTATACACCCACAATGGTTTAACATACGTTTGTGAATTCTACGGACATTTTAAAACGACCAGGTTATTTACTTTGTACCGAAGGACCCACCACAATGCAGCTGGTTAATATTCTTAAATCCTTAATCATCATAAGTGTTGTAAGTAGTTATTAGACAGTAAGACAGATGGTTGTTAAATGACCGACACAAGATATTGACCTCTTCATACTCTAACCGCAACAAAGATATATGGTCAGTAAATGGCTTGGACATGAAAACTTGCCCAATCATTTTGCACCAAGACACCTGAATTTCAGTTAATCTTTGACGTCTCCACAATAAATGACTTAGCCAAATATTACAATATGTCAAATGCTTAGGGTGTTGGGATAATATACGCCGATAGTGGACCTGGTCATACCATGAGTGGTCACAAAGTGGCTTGGACATTACTATACTAAATCTGCCCAGTCATTTTGCACTTAAGCACCGACAGCGTAACTACAGATGTTGAAAGACTCGTAAACTTGCATTCAATTATTCTAACGACGTCAGAATACAAAATGCACTTTGGCTTGTAATTCATGATGTAGATTCTCAATCGAATTCACAAAACCTATAGAAATTATTCAAATTATCACTTTGTAAATGTTAAAAAATGTAACCTTTATTTCAGAATGGTCTTTCCATGCAATATTAATTAATCTATACATTAATGTAATTAATGGGCGAATGGAAGCCTCCCTGTACAGGAAGTGGTCATTAAGATCACATCAGTTTAAGCTGGTGTGACCTTTCATTTAACTGACAGCAAAACAAATATTTTTTCACCACTCATGATTTGATGGAATGTGAACTGTCAATTTAATATTTACTAAAGAGAAGCTGTTAAGTTTGTAACCAAAGGATGTTAACCCGGTAGTAAGTTCTTCGCTAGTGACTTCGTGACAAATCAGTCATGCTGTATTAAATGTCTGCTCAACCTTACACTAATATCATTTTTTTAATTGAAAGATGTTTACACACAAAATAATGTTGAACATTGTACCCTTTGCATATCCATTGATACCGTTCACACCTGTAAGAAATTGGGTCTAAATGAATTTCGAACTGAAGAAGTTAGGACAGAAACAAAGAAGTCATCCTCCAGTCTAAGTGACATTACATAAAGCGAGTTTTACACAAAAAGTACATCTGTAATCAGTGTAGAAAATCCCATTAACAAATAAAGTAAAATCATCTCAATATACATGTGTACTAGTTGTTTCATGCCGCGAGATTAATTCAGTTTACTTTGTCAGTACGATTACCTGGAAAGCGAAAGAAAAAATCACGCTCGTATTTCAATTTATAGAAATCAAATTTACACTTCTCGGTATGCCCAATCCTAACTTGAAATAAAGAAATATTGTATCGACAAGGTTCAAAGTCTTCATCAAGTAATCATTGTGTCAAGTTTGCTTGCATCAGATTAAACTTATCGGTCTGCTGACTAGGTCCACGTGCTAATAATTCAATACACATTTGAGAATACAGGTACATTCCCGTAACGAAATGCTATCATTTGATTGGCTGCTCGGGACGGTAGTCCGGTGTATATAAATGAAACAAGAAACAAGCTTTGCTCCATACTAATACTTCTACCTGAGAAGATTATACACCTGTGATACGATACATATACACTCTGTGTTACCTTAACCTCGAGACTGATATCAGGATGGTGATGTCTGTGTACAAATCCGGTGTCCATTGTACTCTGTTAGGAGACGGAATGGTTGGAAAGACATGTCTCGCACGCTCCTTTGCTGACCGGACATTTCCGGTCAATTATGTGGCCACTGTAATGGACACATACAGTGGTACCACCTATGTGGATGGAAACAAATACGGAATCACTCTCACTGACATGGCTGGAGAGGTAAGCTTCATAATATTTATTTTATTTATCAATATTTAAAATACCAACGGGAAATCGGTTGTAGTTAAAGTTCCATCAATATCTTAATATTCAATAATATAAAAGCAGTCCAGCAGTGCCCTGATCGGAGTTCCGGTTTTAAATGTTTTCCAGTGGGATAAAGTAAGATTGTCCAGTTAGTTAAAACATCAAACATTTTAAATCAGGGGCGGATACAGGAATTTAAGTTAGTTAAAACATCTATAATAAAGTTACATTTTAAATGTTATCAGTGAATTTTAAATTTGTAACTCACCCTTACTCTGCCAATTTTGGTAACGTAAATGTTATCAAATTTTAAATTTGAACTTTTGGTAACGTTGTCACTTTTGTTTTTACAGCATGACGTCATACAAACCAGTGATTACACTATGACCGACGTGTTTATCATCTGCTACAGCGTGGTAGACCGAGAGTCGTTTGAAAGTGTGCAGGATTTCTGGGCCCCTCAAATAAAAAAGATCGCCAAGAAACGTCCGGTGATCCTTGTCGCAACACAGACTGATCTTCGACAGGAAGGGAACATACATCACGTGACGTCATTAGAAGGGGAAACCCTGGCTAAACTTATGTCAGCAAACCAGTTTAAGGAGAGCTCTGCCTTCGCCAAGGAAGGTGTATCACCTCTTTTTAAAAGTGTGGTGCATGTATCTTTAAAGTACCACAAGAAAAGATGTAATATTATCAAAAGAGTTCTTAACAGTATTTGAACACACAATTTAGTTCAGTGATTAAGACTTATCTCTGATCCCCTGTGATCAAGGATGGACGTGTTGTTGCACTCATTGGCAACTTCGGCCGCAACTTAAGAATGCAACGGTCCAGCTGTGATGGAGACAGACTCTCCATTGAGACACCTGCATGAGGAGAGACATATGAGATAACTGCACGAGGAGATACGTGTCTTTCCAAGAGATTTCCCATTAAGGAATTGACTTTCGGAGGAATTGCATCCAGTTTACAGGAAATCCTGTCATTTAGGTATGTATATTTCTCACATTGTAAATCTTACAATATATTTATTATACAGTATTTTTTTTTAAATACAAAATATCAAACTTTAAAACAACATTTTAATTTTTGTTTGGTTTTTATTTCTTAAATATTGATACATTTGAATTCTAAAACTTATCAATAACGCTTTTGTACATTTCAGATGTTGATTGAACTCTTTATACCGAGCTAAGTTCATCGACTTAACGGAGAGTCCACCAGGAAATCACTTCGTCATTACAGGAGGTATGACATTCCATGCTGATAAACAGTGACAATTCAAAAGCTCCAATGACGGAAAGTACCAGCGTGTGTTTGGTTTATAAACTGGATCGGTGTTGTTGACCTTAGGCACTTTTAGACATTTATCATTATGAACTCTGTGTCTTCGAGGGAACTTCAACAAAGGAAGAAAGTAAACCCATGACAACATGAACAGCTATCACTCTTTGGCAGTATTCGACGAGTATGTCATAAGTTGGTGACGTCATATAAAACCAAGGTGTAAAGTACTTGGACACATTTTAGCGAATTACGCTGTAAGCTTGTCTTAATGATGAAATAAATATAGAACCTGACGTAATTATATTTCTTTTGTTGTCAATTTTATTGTGAGGTCTCGGCTCGATATGACGGAGTGTGATATTCAATACCAGTATACACAGTTACGTAATCGAGAGTTGACAGGCCCAATCAAAACAACAGTGTATTAGATTTACAATAACAGTTAAGTGGTATCAGGTGCTGAAGTTTTTACACTTCAGAAAAAACCAACAGAAACTGAAAAAAATTTATCACCTTGTTGTTCACATTACTTACTGAATACATAATATGTTAGGTAAACACTTGATAAACACCTCAAATTAAAAATTCTCCTCACTTTAAAACTGTTGGAGGAGTAAACGACATACACGTTCAATCTAAAGGTGAAGACGATAGAATCAGGGCTGGGGATTTGATGCTGTCCTGTATAACATGTCTGAATGTATGAAAGAGAGATTGGTGATTGGAGAACCCGTGTTGTACATGCGACAGCAGATTTAGTTTAACAGTAAGAGTTGCTGAAATCTAAGTATACTAAACATGTAATCTAATATTTCATTCCTCGTATAAAGTACATCTGGACAAAATTACATACTACTTTAGCAGAAACAATATAGTTGATACTAATTAAGCAGATACTACTTTAGCAGAAACAATATAGTTGATACTAATTAAGCAGATACTACTTTAGAAGATACTTCTTTAGCAGAAACAATATAGTTGATACTAATTAAGCAGATACTACTTTAGAAGATACTACTTTAGCAGAAACAATATAGTTGATACTAATTAAGCAGATACTACTTTAGAAGATACTACTTTAGCAGAAACAATATAGTTGATACTAATTAAGCAGATACTACTTTAGCAGAAACAATATAGTTGATACTAATTAAGCAGATACTACTTTAGAAGAAACAATATAGTTGATACTAATTAAGCAGATACTACTTTAGAAGAAACAATATAGTTGATACTAATTAACAATATACTTTAGAAGAAACAATATAGTTGATACTAATTAAGAAGATACTACTTTAGAAGAAACAATATAGTTGATACTAATTAAGCAGATACTACTTTAACAGAAACAATATAGTTGATACTAATTAAGCAGATACTACTTTAGAAGATACTTCTTTAGCAGAAACAATATAGTTGATACTAATTAAGCAGATACTACTTTAGAAGATACTTCTTTAGCAGAGGCTAAATAAATGAATACAGTATTTTGTCATGTTTTAAATAGGATACCAAAAACGCCGTATGGACTAGAACAGCCAGAAAGAACTTTACTGAAGATAGAAGTGTACAACACCTACAAGTACATCTGCGAACACGTGGGCACTTGACAGAGGGTAGTTGACAGTTAGGATAAAGCGATATAAAAAAAGTGGTGAACTGCTCTGTTATAGAGGAGTTTGTTTTGACATGAATACAGCATATCTTTGTATCAGTTGAATCTAGTTTCAATCAAGGACAAACATGTCAAAATACGAAGCAGATTGCTTGTACAGTAATACGAACCTTCTTTTTTGTCTGCGGCGTTTTTGTCTGATAGTTCTGGTGTTAATACAATGTGACAGAGTTTTTATTTTCCATCAAGCGTAGAATAGATACTATCAAAATATGTCTTAAACCTGAATAATAATACTGAAACACGAGCAGATAAAATGGTACAAAATGTTTTTTTCAGTAAAATGTCGTAGCATGATGTTTCATGCAATTTAAATGAGTACAGTAATTCTGATTGTAAAATAAACAAATCATATGATCCTATAGTACGGTACTAGCTATCTTCATCCTTTGAGCAGCTGGTGACAACCCCACTGAACAACATACGGGAGGTCCGTCGCAGGCCATCCACATTACAACCACGTCATCACAGACTGGTCCGTTTCTGAGTTTATCGAGAAACCGCCGTGGAATGAGAGTGTCGAGCCACGCATCACGGATCGTCAGCTGAGGTTACTAGACCAATGCTCTAACTATGAGCTACCGTCGCCACACAAAAAAATCAAATAAATTACCTTGTACTTGTAAAGTCCTTTAGGGGATAGTAGGGTCTCCAGCAATAATATAGATATAATACAATGTCTTGTCTGAAAGAAAGACAATGAATGAATTAGCCAAATTATCTGTTTCGACGGTATCTGACAGTATCACTCATCATTTGTGTGGTAATATATCATATCAACCTATTTCAATAACTAGACGACAGTTTGATAAGTAGGTCATTTAAAAAATCATTACTGCTTCATTGTTTTATCTCATTCAGGGACTACACCATGATTAATCATAAAATGCTATCTATATTGGAGAGAATTATGTGACATTTTCGAATATTAATCTTATAATAAAAATTCCACGGATAATATATCTGAGCTGGTAGAACAGAAACTGACATCGGAGAATTTTTATAGTAAAAGCACAAATACCTAGAACATAAAATAGATTAATTAACTTGTGCTCTAGCTATTGAACATAAGTTTCCTCTTCTCGTTGAATACGAAATTGTACACTTTGATCAAAGAGGTAAGGAACAGACAAACACAGCAGTGATTTCCAATGTCTTTATCATGTCTAGTACATGGCCTGCACGACCTGGTGTACGATCTGACATGCTCAGATGCTTATAGAGATAAATGACAGGTGGGTTACAGATATCAGTGACCAGACTAGTACCTTTGACTATGATCACAGGTGCTAATTGTTTATGCTACGATGTTGGGGGTATCCGATTCCTTAATTACTTACACGTGAAAATTATTCTCTTATCTCTAAAATGTTATGTGCGTTTCACTTAAGATCAAAGGAAAAATCGACAAAAAAAAATAAAAAAAATAATTCGATTTTCTGTAACAGACAAATCACTGCTCCTTAATGAACCATTTCAGCGATTCAATGTAAAAACCCAGTAAACACATACATGTATTTTACAGTATATATGAAAAGACATCAGATCTTTCTACTGCAATGATAAAATATAACCAAATTAATTTCAGTATAGTGTTGGTGCAACCCCCTTCAAACTCTACAACCTCGAATCTGGATTTCAACATTTCTTCCGATCATTGATTTGCTTAAGTGACCTCACAGGTATCAAAATGTTTGTTTTAGCAGGTTTCTAGGTCTCAAAATGTTTGTTTTAGCAGGTTTCTAGGTCTCAAAATGTTTGTTTTAGCAGGTTTCTAGGTCTCAAAATGTTTGTTTTAGGGGTTTCTAGGTCTCAAAATGTTTGTTTTAGTGGATTTCTAGGTCTCAAAATGTTTGTGTTAGTGGGTTTCTAGTTCTCAAAATGTTTGCTTAATTGATTTCTAGGTCTCGAAATGTTTGTGTTAGTGGGTTTCTAGTTCTTAAAATGTTTGCTTAATTGATTTCTAGGTCTCGAAATGTTTGTTTTAGCAGGTCTCTAGGTCTCAAAATGTTTGTTTTATTGGGTTTCTAGGTCTCAAAATGTTTATTTAAGTGGTTTCTAGGTCTCAAAATGTTTGTTTTAGCAGGTCTCTAGGTCTCAAAATGTTTGTTTCATTGGCTTCCTAGGCTTCAACATTTAGATCCATAGCATTAATTAGTGAGTCCTAGAGTAATGGAAGACTTTACTATAACTAATTCTGAAGTGGTATTGAAAGGTGTTGTCGACCTGTGGGCCTTTTGTACAATCTGTAAAAGCATGCTTTCCTCAACGTATAATGGTCATTTGTAGGGTGCATTAGTAACTCACATGGGTCTCTTAAGCGGGGAAAGAAATCGGTGGAAAAGTCCATAATTTTGGTCAGACATGGAAACTCCTTACACGATCGAGGAATTAAACGCTGGAAATTTCGGCATCCATGCACCCCTAATTTCAGCTTTCGAGATTTATTTTAATAAGTGTGGTAATTTGGAAAATGTTTTGAATGGTTATCTTACTAAAGACACAGCCCTGTACTTTAGCGTGTGTAAGGATATCCAAGTCTATGTACTTTGTTTTCGTGAGATTGCTCACTGGATAAACACTGTGACAGCTATTCATTGATTAGGTGTTAAAATGACATTTAAAAGTGATATCAATCTTACCATGGGCTACAAACATTGTTATTTGGCCTGTTAATCGATAATTTGTTTATTGTTCTTTCTGCCGACAAGCTAACACTGATCTGCTAAGTTTGGTTAGCTTAATAAAAATGTAGCATTTCCGCTAAAGGTGTTTTAAAAATAGATTCCACCTTTTTTCCCCGACATGAAACACACATACTCATATATATATCAAGTAAAACTATAATCTTTGAAATGTGTGCATGGAAAACGATATGTATTGCATAAAGTTTTCTTTTTTAGCTCGTCAAGTTAACAAATATTTAAAGTAAGTTGTTCACATGATTTACACGTCATCACATTGTAACAAGAAGAAACAGGTAAACATGTTTAAGGTCAGTCACCTGGTTGACCTTTAGATATTCAGAAAGAAAAGAAGCATTTATGTATAGCAAAAATAATGTCAATTTGTGAATGTTCTTTCTAAGCATTACGTAAGGTTTGTTAAAGTTCAAAATGCACAGCCAATACCAAGAGATAAAACGCGTAGACTATGGTCTATATTTTAGAACTGATGTATGGTTAAGGTTTAAAGAAAACCTAAACAGTAAAACACTAACATGTGAATTTAATCATAACCCAAACTCTTAGTCAATAAGACTAGGGCAAAATATGAACAAACGAAAAATTACACGACGACTCCTGAAAAACCACAGGTAGAATAAGACAAGGTGTTCCGGAAGAGCAAGCGTCTTC